ATTGGAGTTTGCCGTGGAGGATTTCCCACGTTTTGGTGCGGGTGGTGGGGGCTGTTTTCACCGACTGTAGGAGGTCGAGGATGGCGTTTCGTTTGGTGGTCGGGAGTTGGATGGTGCGGGTGATGCCGTCGAACCTCCACCCTAGGATTTCCTTGGAGGTCTCCCAACGCCCTTCCTCCAGGAGTTTTTTGTGGGAGATGGCCGGGCCCATGTTGCTGCCTGTAATGTCGGGGCCGGGAAAGGTGTTGTCGATGGCATGGAGGAGGTGCCGCGTTACTGTTCGGAAGTGGGTGGGGTCGTTGGACTGTACCATGGCAATGAAGTCGTCGATGTAGACCTCGAGGGTAGTGGAGAAGGTGGTCATGGGGGGGTCCAGGGGTAGGGTGTGCCACGGGAAATTCATGATAGTCGCCTCCATTGGATGTGGTCGATGTGGGAGGTGCTGGCGTAGGGTTGTGGCGGCAACGTCACGTGCGGTCTCTGTTGCCGCGCAGAAAAATGGAGGGCTTTCGCTCCATCCCATTTGGAGGGAATGCGGGATTACCAGCTGTGGGGGTGCCGTGGGGTCGGTCGAGGGAAGGACGTAAGCAAAGTTCCAGGCGTCGATTTCGTTGACGACCATTCGCCAATAACCGTCCTTGAGGTCGAGTTTGGAGAACAGGAATGGTAAGTTGGGGGGTGCGCGAGCAATTGTGTGGATGAGGCGGGGGATGACGCGGCCTAATTCGAACATGGCGTGTTGGGGGGCTAGCGTCTTGTCGGAGGAGGCGTTGACGGACGGGACTGTGTGGGTGGGGAGGGGCAGCTGGAAGGAGAGGTCGAGGATCATGCGATAGGCTCTGGATTTGTGGGGTATGGCGGCAATGGGGCTGACTTTGAGGTTGGGGGGGTGGTGATGTTCGATGTCGGTCCAGTTTACAATGTGGCAGCATCCATCGTTGACCCGTGCCAGCGCTTCGTCGCGGCATGCTGCTGCGGCCTCAGGGGAGCGAGCACTTGGGTGTGCGCCGCGGTGTATGGCCGCCCGGATTTCTGTAGTGCTCCAGTTGGGGCCGCAGTTGACGGGGCAGCCGTTGGTTGCCCAATTTCTAAGGAGTGACGCTGCTGGGTGTTCGCGGACTTGTCGTCGCGGGTACATGAGGCCGACGAACGGGAGGGACTTACCTTGGTGTGGTGTTAGGTCGTGGTGGGGGTTGGGGGGGGTGGGCCGGTGTTGTGGTGGGGAATGTGTGCGTGGGCGTTGGGGTCGTGGTGCGGTTGTGGTAGGGGAGTGTGTCTTGGGGAGGGGGGTGGTGGGGGCGTGCGGATGGTGTGGTCTGGGCGTGTGCTTGTTGGTGACTGGGGGGGGGGTGCAGTATGGTGAGGGCGGCGGGGTTGTCAGGGGGGGGTGACCGATGTTGACTTACCGCCTGGTGGCTTGGCGGCGCTGGGCGCTGCTGCTGCAAAGGTGGCTTCGAGCATTGTGGCGTGGTCCGCTGAAGTAGGTTTTGCGTCGTGGGTGCGGCGGCATCGCGGGGAGTCGCAGTAGCCGAAGAAATGGAAACGGATGCAGTCGGTTGGTTCGATGCCCAGGCGGTTGGCAAATGCTGCGTCGTCCGCGCACTGTGTGGCCGCTCGGGCTGACGCTATCGTGGGGAACCGCTGATTCTGTTTCTTGTGGGTGGCGATGAGTTTTCTGCACGCAGTGGGGAGGTCCTTTGTGTGTGGTGTGGTCGGGCGCTGGTCTGTGCGATCTTCTGCGCGTCTGTCAGAGCGGGAACGTTTTGTTTGGGAGTCGGGGTGGTGGATCGGTTTGCTCCGCTTTGTTAGTGGCGGGCAGAACATTGCTGGTTTGTTGCTGGCTTTGTGGAAGATGCCACTGG